TTTATTGGAGATGAGAGTCTCAGAGTTTTCTGCCTAGACTGGTTTGAACTGTGATCCTTAGATCCTACCTCCTCAGGAACTCGGAACACAGGCATCAACCACCAACCCCCAGCTGCTATTTTCTTTCTAACTACTTTCTTCTCCAGAACAGAAAGGGCTTTAAGAATGATTTGCTTCGTTGCATAAGGAACTATTAAAGAAAGAAAGAAAAGAAACAAAAGACTCTAAATGGAATTAGGAAAACATGTTAAGTGAGTTTAACCAGTTTATCTTGAATTTGACATGATTACCAATTAATGGGGCAGATCATCTGGAGGAAGTTAACATGACCTAAAATCATTATGTCAAAATCTCACATTTCCACTTTCATATAGTTTTGTGGGCCAGCAAAATAGAGACAGATGAACACACCCAGAGATATATAGTACACAAATGCGCAGGTGTGGACGTGTGTACACACCACTTTCTCTCAGCAGATACTTTTATCTAGGTGTGGAGATTGTTGAATGGACAAGCAAACTTCAGCAGAGATGCAAGCTTGGTGGTCCTCAAGGGAGGATCATTTTCATCTTCTTGGTGCAGGTGAAGAGGAGGCTGCAGTGAGTGGACTGTCCGCTCATGAGCAGAAAAGGACTGAGGGCTGGGAAACAGCCCATAGCAAATGCCGCCATATGGTGCAGCACAGGGCTGGGGCTGTAAATCATAGTCAAGCAAGTCTGACAGATGCAGGACACAGTGTAAAAGGAGACAAAGGCGCTCAACAAGAGGAAGATGATTATGGTAGCTCTGGACTCGAGAGAGGCTCTGGTGGAGACACTGATACTCTGTATGTGTCTCATTCTCGTTTGTGTCTGTACAGGACAAAGAGCATGGAGGTGCTAGCCCAGAGCATGAGTCTCAGACACAGAAGATCAGGCACTGAGAGCATGGCCACACACAGGACATTAGCAGCTGGGTCCTGACACATGGAAGAACAGTAGCCATAGGCCTTTAAGCTCGTCATGTTATCCTGTGCTTTGGTTCTGGTCATGAACATAAGAAAAACAATGCTCACCAGGAGGAAGACCCGCCAGCTGAGGTAGAGGGCTTGTGGGTTCTCCCCTTCAGCCCTGCCCACATGGAGTCCCCCTGGATGATGCTGACAGCAAGGAAGATGCTCAGGGAGCAAGTGCTACCGATCGACACCCCCCCGCACACTTGGAAAAGATAGATGACCATTTTGCACTCCATATCATTGAAGAAATTTCTCCAGCCCCAAGCCACTATGGTTTGGGGAACACCCCTACACAGAAGACTTAGGAAGTTGGCCACAATCAAGTACCCCATGCAGGAAAGGAATGGATAATGGGAGAGAAGAGACAAATTACCTACAAACCCAACCACAGTCTGGCCTAAGAGGATCACCCCCATAGACACATGGGCATCTCCCATCCTCTCTGTTCCTTGAGTCTCATTCAGAGGCCCTGGCTTGGGAAACTGAGGCCTTCATGGTGCCAAGGGAACACAACATTCTCCATCCCACATTCACACCACTGGAAATACTCTCCTACTGTCTCTCATGTATTAGGAAAAATCCAATTCTATTCATCCATCGGGAAGTGGAAGATGGCATGTTCAGGGAAATGGGTGAACTTGGAGAAATGGCATTAAGGGAAGGTGAGTCTGGTTCTGAAGTGAAGGCAGCTGCATTTCTCCTCTGTAGAATCATATCTAAGATTCTAAACAAGCAAGGCCCTAGTAGCTCAAGACTGTTATCCTAGCTACTCAGGGGCTGAGACCTTGACTTCCCAATTCAAAGCCAGCCCAGAGAAGTAAAGTCTCTGAGACTCTTCTCTCAAGTTAAGCACCAGCAAACCAAAAGTAGATATGTGCCTCAAAGTGGTAGAGGCCTAGCCTTGAGCAAAAAGGGCTCAAGGAACATGGGCAAGACTCAAGTTCAAGCTCTCTGACTGACTAAAGAACGAAGCTTGAAACATACCTGACATGTTCCCGGGGTCACATGCACTTATACTTCAATACCCTGGCTGCAGGAGTGGGTCCCAGGTATCACCCTTTCCTCAACATGGAGCCCATATTTCACAGAAGAAATACCAGGAAGATGAACCAAGTCTGTATTGGGATGTTGCGGGTTAAGAAGGAGGTGGATCACAGAGACAGAGAGGGGGTAATGTTAGGGTCAAATCCTATTCTAGAGTCACTTATGTGAACATATCTTCCCCAGTCCATGGACAATCAGGATTCCTCCTCACTTGTCATAAACCAGGACAGACTCTGTGAGGGGAGTCGAAGTGAGAAACCAACAGGAATTGGGGGTGAGGGGCCTGGAACCCCTGTTCTTTTCACTGTCCTAGCCCATTCCTATCCTCCCTGTTTCTTTGTTATGCAACCGGGTTCAATCAAGAATCCCTACTCCTAAGGTGATACCTTACCCAGAGTGTGGAACCTGTGGTCTCTCCTGCAGGCTGCACCTCTCCAGTGGCAGTGAACACAAGTGCTCGCCTCTTCTCTCAGGATGTGCGTGGCAGGATGGGTCATTTCTGAGATGCACATGGGCACTTCAGAGCTACAGATGGCTCCTTAGATAGGGTTCACTGCAGGAGCGGTGATTTTCCCTTCACTTGGGGTGGCAAGCCAAATTGCCAGTAAACTTTTTCTTTTCCCCCATGTGACAATTATCAAGACACTTTTCACTTTTAGGTGGGTGCTTCTCCAGAGGTCAGGAGAGTGGTGCAGTCGCTTACCTCTCCTGGATCCCAGTAGGCCAGCAGGAGACACTGATGCTCAACTTGAGATGACTGTCTGTAAACAACCTCAGCGGTGTGTAAGCCATGTGTCCCCAAAGTTTCTTACCCAAAGAGTCCCTTCTCTTTTTTTTTCTGGTTCTGAGACTTGAACTCAGGGATTGGGTACTGTTCTTGAGCTGCTTTTGCTCAAGACTAGCACTCTACCATTGGTGCCACAGCACTACTTCTGGCTTTTTCTATGTATGTGCTGCTGAGGAATTGAATCCAGGGCTTCATGCATGCTAGGCAAGCACTCTACCACTGAGCCACCTTCCCAGCCGTCCTCATCTCAGTCTCCTTTTGTTTTATCATCATATACGCTGTTAGAAAAGAAAAATGGAACCTTGTACTGATGCAAACTCAGGAGCCTGATATTAGAGAATCAAGGTTCAAAGCCAGCCTGGTGAAGGAAGCCCATGAGATTCTTATCTCCAATTCTTATCTCCACTCTCTGGTGGTAGAGTGCCAGTCTGGAATAAAAGAGCTCAGCAACAGCATCCATGCCCAGAGTTCAAACCTCTAGACTGGCACCAAAATAGAAAGAAAGTAGAATGAGACATTCCTGTGAAGGAATTTCTTTGGCAATAATGGCCATTTTTTTCTAAAAATGTTTTAATCCCTTGAGACTCCATTTGGAAGTTAGAGGTAAGCATTTCCTGAATATTTCTGAAAGCAGAGTGATGAGTGATCTCTTTTCATGCCTGGTTGTTTCTGAGGAGGTAGCTTCACTCTCTAATTCCCTACTCATTTTCATCCTTATCAGTGGTGATTTTGAAGCAGAAATTTGTCACTGTGCTCAGGAGAGGATCAGCAGTGACTCCTCACCCTGGGTTTCTGGTCTACCTCATTGCATGGACTCCATTCCTCACCTGGACCCTTCTGGTCTTGCTGACAATTCCTCTGCTCTGTTCTTGTCTGTTTCAAGAACGTGCATTTGCCTTTCTGTGTCTGACTTCTTGCATTTTCCACAGCGATCTGTAGTTCTACAGATGTGGCAGCACATGACACGATTTCTTTCTTGTTCCTGGCCTAGTCGTACTTTGTGATGGAAATAGGCTACATCTTCTTTTTTTTGTGAAACATCTTTTTATTAAACAGCAAAGCAGAAATGCAGCACAATTTTAAATATTTGTACATTTAAGTTACAAAAGGGATTCAAAATGTTTGCAGTATGACTATTACATCTTCATATATTTAAAGTCATTTATGAAATCATATACTAACACATAAGATTATCCAATGATTAAAGTAGTTCAAATCTAGTAACCGTAAGCTATATTAGTGGATCTCATGTCCTATTATAATATGTTAATATTACCTCTGATATTTTTTCGGAGCTGACAGTAAAGCTCTAAGGTCATCTTGACCCCTGTGCTCACTTGAAGGCACGTACAAGGAAAAATTGTCATTTGAGTTCAAAAGTTTTAATGTGTATCTGGTTTAAAACAAACAGCCACGAGACAATGAGTGACACTTGGCCTCGACATTTTAAGGGATTTTTTTTAATGTAACTAAAAACTAAAATATAAAAGAATAAAAGAGATTAATAGGAGGCTTAAAAATTACTAATGGATTTCTGGATATAAAGTTTAAAAGTAAACTTGTTCTTAACATTTTCTTCAAAGTAAAAAAATTAGGATTACCAAAATAATTGTTTAATTGCTATTCCAGTTTTTTCTTATAGGTTTTTTAAGTTTCCAGCAAGCCAAGAACAAAACACAGAGGATTCTTATAAGTTTGTCAGATGTAACTTTGGCTCTTAATAAGATTCAGGTAAGAGCAAGCTTAAAAGCTACTTCTATGTTGACCACCGTGTTGCTTTTAATTGGAGTAAAGTGGCTTTTTATAAGACTCATTGGTCTGCAAACTGGTTCAAAGCCAGCCTGGGCAGAAAAAGGTCCCTGTGAGACTGTCACCTCTACTCATCCAGCAGAGTGCTGAAAGAGCAAACAGAGTTGCTTTGGGACTCATAGAGGCAGAGTGCTAGCCTTGAGTTGTAGAGCTGAGGGACAGCACTCAGGTCCAAGTTCCTGTCCAGCAACCAGCTAAGGAAAATACAGATAAGACAGTTATCCCAGTGTAGAGAAGACATTCCTGGGACAAGAGCAATGGAGGAGCATCCAGAGGCAGTAAGCCACTGCTTGGATGACAAAAATGTCAAATCCTAGAGTCATTTGTGCATGACCCTTCAAATGTTGGTCAGAGCAAGGAGGTCATGGGAAGATAGGTTGTAAGCATGCCTAATATCCATGACTATCTACATTGTAGGGACAGAAACTTGTGATAGTACTAAAAATCTAAAGTTATAAAATGTGGGGGATAGTTTAAATCCCAACCGCTGTATGTGCCAAAAGCCCTAATTGGCAATAGTTTTTAAGCTAACATCAGCTACATAAAGTTTATCTGCTCAAGAAAAAGTTTGTAAACCTAAGAGTGTGTTTCTATTAACATCTGTATAAAGGCCTGAACAGGTGACTTAGACATTGTTAGGGTCACTAGAGGTGGCATTCCTAAAAGTGCTTTTACAAACCATAGTGCTAAACAAGCTACACTGCTGTAATCAAAAAAAGAAAAAGTCTGTGCATTTGTCAAAAGTTAAAATATCATTCTTAATGACATCTAACCCTGGTAACCTCTTTGTAAAATGGACTAAGGTTATAGGTTCCTGGGTAGGTAGGATCAACACCCCCTGAGTCAGTTTGAAGAAGTTACAGATGAATCTTCACCCATCATCCCCTTTTTCGAACAAGGGACCAAAGACATAAAAAAAAAAAAAGTGACAAGATAGACAAAAAGAAAGACATGGAAAATAGTAGTACAGGCCTGAGCCCTCTATATCTGCCTAAAAAAGTCAGCCTTATTTTAAAAAACTATCTAATTAAAAAGGTTGTCATCTTGGTCATTTGTCCTGGGCCATCGTCTAAATAGTCTAAAAAACTAGTGGGCCACAGCCAGCCAAGCCTATGTATTACTTGTATCCATAACCAGTCTGTGTAGAAATTTACAGCCCTGCAAGAGGTGTGACAGTCCCTTGGAGCCACTGAGAGACCCTGCTGCTGCTGCTGATACAGCCTGAAAGTCACCTGGAGGAAATCTACATCGTTCCCCTGACCACCTCCACCGTGGAAAAAGTAGACTAAACTCCTGCCTGATTCCATTTTTTGGATGGCTTCACTTTGTCCATGTTACCATATACCTACTCTAATTTTGTTATGGATACTCCTTTTACTGGGAAGACTAGCAAACATTGTATTGCTCATTCCCTACACTGCTTTGCCAATATGGGACTTCCTAAACATATTAAAACTGATAATGGTCCGGGGTATGTTGGACAAGCTTTTCAAACTTCTTATAAATCTTACCAGATTTTTCACTCTACAGGTATTCCCTATATTCTTCAAGGACAAGAAATTGTTAAACAAGCCAACTGGCTATTAAAACACCAAAATTTTAAATTAAAAGGGGAGAATTATATCTCTTCTCTCCTGTTAATATTCTTCTCACACTTTATTTGTACTAGATTTTTTAAGCTTAGACTGTAATGGCCTTTTCACAGCACAGCGATTTTTGGGGAAAAAAAAGAGAGAGAGATCAAAGAGCAAAGAACTTTTGCCCAAGTTAAGTGGAAGGATCCTTTAACAGGAGATTGGCACAGGCCTGATCTGGTTTTAACATGGGGTAAAGGACATGTTTGTGTTATTTTGCAGGAAGAAAGTAAATCCCGCTGGTTCCCTGAGCATTGCGTTAGGATTGTGGAGGCTCAATCAGATGACACAAACGCTGACACATTGGGCTTACATGCCGGATCCCCCGATTGTGCACCCTACAACTTGGAAGGGAGTTGAAGTACTCATTCACGTCAATAGACCAGCATACAATACAGCCCCGGATCCCTTCATCCAGCACAGAAAGATGGGAAATATCTCAGCTTCAGACATTGGAATTCCTTTTTGCTTTACCACCAGCTCTAAAGGCTCCATTCCAGGCTGCATTATAATGCTATCCATGACTCATAAAATTTGGATCCCAGACAAAAATCAAATGTACAATATACAGATGACATCTTTCTCAAGTGAACACCCACTTCATGCAAATTCTTCTCCATCCGATATGATACCCCATTGCATTAACTCTTCACAAATAGTAGTATCTACAGGAGAGCCTCATCCAATAAGGTGCAGGCATGTACAACCATTTGTTACCAATATTTCTGGAACTAACTCTCAATTAATGGACTAGTCTGGAGCTAATCTTACTAACAGGTACAATCTTGGACTGTGGTGGATGAATGGGCATCCTCAACATCATGTTTGGATGCTGGTGGCTGCACTCGACAACATAACCTGGCCCAATTAATCACTTTTAAAAAATATTACGAGTTGTGTATCACCGCCCAATGTCATCATGTATTGACTGTTTAATATCTCTGTAGGAGCTTATTATTTTAATGTAGCCTGTTCTAATTCTTCTTTTACTAATTGCTTGTATAGCGGCATAACTAAATCCATACTTATTGTTAGACAACCATCTTTTGTTATGCTTTCTGTAAATATTTCTAAAACTTGGTATAAAAGTTCTGGCTGACATTGCCCCATTTGTTAGGAAATGGAAAAACTTGGAAAAAATGATATTAAGTGAAGTAAGCCAGACCCAAAGAAATATAGGTCCCATGGTTTCCCTTATTTGCAATATCTAGTATATGTATGAGTCAAGCAGAAAAGGTCAGATAATGTGATGTTAGGAAAATGAACCCTTAGATATGTATTTTAATGTTTTTTTCATTCATGCATTTGTTTCTAACGCATTTATAAGGTTATCTCTTTGTTGCTTTGTATGTCCCTCCCCCACAGTATAACCACTGCTTTCACTATATTTGATGTCAGTATAACTTGTAGAGGAGATGGGGGAAAAACAAGTCGTTCAAGGATACAGGTGGACCTGTTGCAACAATGAGAAGTACAAGTTGTCATGTCAAAAACCAGCTTTACAACGTTGGAGCACAGTCAACAGAAAAGCTGTGGCTCTGAAAATTTGAGCATTTTTCCCCAGTAGCAAGCAAGCATTTCCTTTTTTTATAATGTGAGACTAGGGATTGAAGTAGGTATCTGATGCTTTTGCTCATTGGCTCGGCTGCAGTTGCTCTACCACCTGAGTCATACCTCCCACACCAAGCACTTCCTCATGGAACAGCAGACACAGTCCGGCCCCTCTAATTCAGTTCACTCCTCACCCTAACTTCTGCCCCCATGTGGACCTGATCAGCTCAAAGGAATCAGGACCAGGGACAAATCCTCACAGGTTCAACATAAAGGATGCTACTGAAAAGATTTTTATGGCAAGGCCCATGGGAGCTGAGTGCCTTGTCTACACCCACTAAGCTCCACGAACCCTCACATCTTCAGCTCTCTGGAAGCTCTCAAAACCGCTTATATTGTACTTTTTTTAATGCAGATTTCATTGGATGGGGAAGACTGTGTCAAAGTTTGATCAAGCAGAAAGGGTGTGACAGGGTGCTGACTGTGCCTGGCCTAGCAGAGCCTCTGCCTGCACTCTGTGGCCCTCCGGTTGGCACATAGGGCTGGACCCTTCCTGAAACTGGTAAAGAGATGTACTGTCAGACACTGGTCAGGATTCTGCTGTGATGGCTCTGGGATGGAAAAGCAGGGTGCAATAGTTACCATGGCCGTCCTCTGAAACAAAGCTCAGGTTCTATGGCCTGCATTCCAGAGGGAGTTAATGAGCCAGAAACTGAGCACCCAGATCCACCTGTACAGTCCAGTCCCACCTGTACATTCTTAGGTTCCCATTCACCCATGGTGTTGCCCACAGCACGGCTGTGTGTAGAGCACATGGGCAACAAAAATGGCGCTGAGAGAGGTAGTTGAGTGGGCAGAGCCTGATTTGCTTTATGTTTATTGCATAATCAGACCGTGGAAGCTTAGGTGCATGATAGGGTGTGAACTTGACAGTGATTGGTTCCTTTTCCTCCCCTGCCATGCCACCCGCTCTTTTTTGCTTTAAAAAGGGCTTGCTGTGTGTTAATAAATGAGTTTTCCTGCTTGACTTGACTCTCCACTGTGTCTGATTGTCTCCCAGGCAAAGGGAAGCTGGGGAACGGGCGAGCTGCCACACTTACCTTTCCTCGGACCCCGTCCGTCTATGAGGAACAGACAAAGACCCGACATCTGGCACCCAACTTGGGGCATGAAAGGAAAAGATGCCAGCCAAGGCTAAGCAGTCTCTCAGGGTATGTGAAACCCTTAGTATGGGTAATGCTATCTCACAGAAGAGGGAGGAGGAGGCAACATTAGGCCTTAGGGAGTAAAAGAGGACTTGAGAAGTGGGAAGGAAAAGGAATGGGTCAAATTTGACTGATAATGCACTGAATCATGCACAGTGGAAGTTAAAACAAGGGTGAAAGTTACCCCCTCTGACTCAGGTGTCCCTGACTGTCCCTTACTGTCGTAGGCCTCCTATCTATTCCCCCAATTTTAGGGGAGGTACATCACCCTAAGCAACCTGCGAGAGGGACCTGCAAGACCTGGATCCCTACCAACTTTCCACAGAGGGGCCGAGGGCTGGGGAAGTAACCTACTCAGAGGCCTACCCTGCAAAGGAAGGGCCACCCGGGAGCCTGGACTCTAGGACACAGGATTTGCTTTCTGAAGCAGATCCGATCAATCTGACACCAGGAGCTAACAGGCACTTGGAATGGTATCCATGGGAAGCTAAGGACCTTAAAGAGGTCCACAAGGCAGTGGTGGAGCATGGCCCGAACTCTCCTTGGCCCAGACCCTATTACAGGACATTGCTTATCACCTGTGTGTCCCTAAAGAATGGCTGGATGTGGCCAAAGCCATCCTCACCAGTTCTCAGTTTATTAAATGGTGTGCTTTCTTTAAGGAGGAATGCAGAGTGCGGGAGGAGAATAACTGGCAGGGTCAACCCGAGATACCTATTACTTATGCCATATTAACAGAGACATGGGAAGGGCACTCCACTGGCATCCAACAGGCCACAATTCCTGGTCCATACTGTGACCAGGTGAGGCAGGCAGGACCTGCTGCATGGTACAAACTGGATGATGGGCCTACTGAGTTCCCCAGAGCAGGAGTGAGACAAAAACCTGGTGAGTCTCTAGCTGAGTTTGTAGACCGAGTCCAACAGAGTATTAACTGCAAGCTGCCAGCAGGGAACCTCTGAGATCAGTTTGTAAAGCTGCTGGTC